CCTGGTGCACTGGGAAGACCCAGAGGGATCGGGTGGAGAGGGAGGTGGGAGGGGGGACTGGGATGGGGAATACATGTAAATCCATGGCTAATTCATTTCAATGTATGACAAAAACTACTGCAATGATGTAATTAGCCTTCAATTAATAAAAATAAATGGAAAAAAAATAAAATAAATAATCTCATAAGTCAGGTTTAAATCATGTGGTGCCCCATTGTCTTTTTCATTTTTGAGGTATGGTCAGAGAGTTCAGATATAGCCCTTTACTCACTAATCCAGTACAATGTGCTGAAAACAGCCAGTTGACCAACCACTTAACAAAAATAAAAGTGACAGTCAAGGGACTGCTACTGGATGAATAAAGGTTGAACTTACCATCATTTAGTATGTATATTAAGACTATTATATCATTCTATTATTGATCCTATCAATCAATTATATTAATCAAAGAAAAGAAGGAAGATCAGACGGAGGAAGTCAAACAAAAAATTCCTGATTCCTGTCTTCAGTGCACTTATAGTAATAAGTTTAAGGTTTTAAGTCCAATCCTTTTCTTAGAAAAGTTACACAAAGATGCTCAACTTGGGCATATACAAAACTGTGACTCCTGCATATGTATGTCCCCTTGCAACTCCTAATTCCCTTTTCCTTCTCCGTTTTTCCTCAAAGCACTTACTGCATCAGACATATTATATACTTTATCTGCTTCTGCTCTGTCTCCTCATCTCTAGACTATAAACTCCTAAGAAGCACAGACTTCTCAGCTTTGTTCACTGCTGTGTATCCAGTGCTTAGAATAGTGCCTGGCACTTAACAGGTGCTCTCTAAATATTTAATAAATAATTGAGATCATTTTTTTGTTTTTGTTTTTCTAGACTTCTGGTGCATTTTCTAAGACAAAATTGCATTTTTTTTCCCATTAAGCTTTGTTCTTATACACACAGCAGTCTGGCTTACAATGTGATTCCACTTACTAGCTGTGATACTGGGTGAGTTATTCATTTCTCTGAATTTCAGCAGAACAAGGATCACAGAAGTATCTGTGGGTTGTTGTGAGAGATGAATGAGAGAATTCACATGATGTACTTAACATAATGCTTGACACACAACAACTGTTTAATAAATTTTGGTGATACTTGTTCTTACAACTATTAAATTATTTTCTTCTGTTATAAACAGCTTCACTGATTCTTAAATCATCTTATAATTAATGACACTGGGGACATTTAGATTCAAGAGCTAAGGTTACATGCAGCTGAGTCTCCTGAAAAAAAGCTACTTCCTGTGTGCGTTACTTTCAGGGAGCATTAATCCTCCTCTTGTTCCATACTGTATTTCAATTAATTGATTATATTCAGTCTTCTCTGCTACATTGTGTGGTCTTTTAGAGTATAAAATCTCTGTATTCTATCACAAAGTAGGCACTCTCTAGATGTTTGTCTAATGGATGAGTTACTGTAAAGAAATGGGACTGATTCCATTATTTGTAGTCACATTAATCACATCACACGCGCACTACCATTAATGCTTGAAAATTACATTTCTCAATAGATGGTGGAGATCTAGAGAGCAGAGGGGAGGTTTTAGTGTTGGAGAGTGATGCAGAGCAGTGTGGATGAGAATAAAAGAGATGGCATTCAGTGATGTACTGTGAATAAAAAAGTGCTCAGAAGATCGATACAAAACCAGTTCTTATACTCTCATAAATGGTTACTCTATTTCAATAGTAATGATCTAATTTCCATCCATCTTACTTTACGGAAGTGTGACTACTCAGGGAAAAATTCTAATAAAAAATACTTGATAAAGTTGAAAAGAACAATTATTAGAAATGAGGACTCTGGAATAGGGATATGGCACATCAAGGCTGTATATTGTCACTCTGCTTCTTTAACTTATATGCAGAGTGCATCATAAGAAATGCTGGGCTGGAAGAAGCACAAGCTGGAATCAAGATTGCCAGGAAAAATATTAATAACCTCAGATATGCAGATGATACCACCTTTATGGCAGAAAGCGAAGAACTAAAGAGCCTCTGGATGAAAGTGAAAGAGGAGAGTGAAAAAGTTGGCTTAAAGCTCAACATTCAGAAAACTAAGATCATGGCATCTGGTCCCATCACTTCATAACCAACAGATGGGGAAACAGTGCAAACAGTGGCTAACTTTATTTTTAGGGGCTCCAAAATCACTGCAGATGGTGACTGCAGCCATGAAATTAAAAGATGCTTGCTCCTTGGAAGAAAAGCTATGACCAACCTAGACAGCACATTAAAAAGCAAAGATATCAATTTGCCAACAAAGGTCTGTCTAATCAAAGCTATGGTTTTCCAGTAGTCATGTATGGAAGTGAGAGTTGGACTATAAAGAAAGCTGAGCACTGAAGAATTGATGCTTTTGAACTGTGGTGTTGGAGAAGACTCTTGAGAGTCCCTTGGACTGCAAGGAGATCCAACCAGTCCATCCTAAAGAAAATCAGTCCTGAATATTCATTAGAAGGACTGATGTTGAAGCTGAAATTCCAATTCTTTGGTCACCTGATGCGAAGAGCTGACTCAATGGAAATGACCCTGATGCTGGGAAAGATTGAAGGTGGGAGGAGAAGGGGATGACAGAGGATGAGATGATTGGATGGCATCACTGACTCAATGGACATGAGTTTGAGTAAACTCTGGGAGTTGGTGATGGACAGGGAGGTCTGGCATGCTGTAGACCATGGGGTCACAAAGAGTCAGATATGATTGAGCAAGTGAACTGAACTGAACACAGCTTGAGGTTTGACCACATGCAAGAATCAGTGAGAGGTTAGGAAATCCAGAGGTATGCAACATCACAGCAAAAATACTTTCAAAAAACTTATGTTAATAATCACCCAAATGCAGAATATTTAATAGTGCTAAAACCTGTATTCAAATGATAAAAATATACAGTGCTTTACACAGGATAGTAAACAGCAAAATGTGTACCTCTGGAAACAGAAAGAAGCTTCAGACTGGCAGATTTTATGGTTGAATCAGCCATTTAGAATGTATTCAAAATAAGAGATCAGAGAAAAAAAAACCCCAGTATCACAAGTCTTCTATGTCTATAACTCTCACATGCTGTGAATCTATCTCTTTGAGTAATGCTTCTCATTATGAAGGTACTTACATTAGGCCGCAGTCTGGCTGCCAGATCATAATACTTCTCAGCTGCTTCATTGAGGCTAGCCTGTCTGTTAAAGAGAAAAACATCAAACTATATTAGTCATTTCAAAATTTCAGACTGATGAACAGAATCATTATGTAGCAAAATAATATTAACTTTTAAAAAAGCACAAAGTTAAAGTGCAAGTCACTCAGTCGTGTCCAACTCTTTGTGACCCCATGGACTTTACAGTCCATGGAATTCTCTAGGTCAGAATACTGGAGTGCGTAGCTTTTCCCCTCTCCAGGGGATTTTCCCAACCCAGGGATTGAACCCAGGTGTCCCGCATTGCAGGCAAATTCTTTACCAGCTGAGCCACAAGCCATGTCAATCAAATAATAAGCTGACTAAGCAGAAAAAGGTAATTAAAAATTGAATGCCTCAATGTATTTATGGAGCTTCCAGGGTGGCTCAGCAGTAAAAGAATCTGCCTGCAATTCAGGAGATGCAAGTTCAATCTCTGGATTGGGAAGATCTCTTGAGAAGGAAGTGGAAACCCACTCCAGTATTTCCCAGTCCTTGGGAAATCCCAAGGACAGAAGAGCCTGGAGGGCTACAGTCCTTGGGGTCACAGAAAGAGTTAGACATGACTCAGTGACTAAACAACAAATAATGTACTTTGTCATTATCTTTTAGGCATTGTAAATAATATCTCAGTATCTCAGCCTAATCCTATTCAGCAGATATTACTGTAAATTTACACATTAGAAATCAGAAATGTCATTTTTCTTTTCCAAGACAAGATAATATGTTACCGGGTTGAGATTCTCCTGCTTTAATACGATGTCCCAGAAAAATCCTTACTTTTAAAAATAAATTGTCAAGATTACTATCTAGTTATTTTTGTTTTATGAAAATCATAAATGTTTGCAGTTTTCTTTTTAATCTGTATCTATCTATAAAGTTACTTTATTTTCAATTCAGGAGAAGAAACTTTCAATGTCTGTAGTCTACCAAAAAAAAAAGTCAGCTTCTCCCTCTCTTTGCTCTCTGGCCACAAGAGTAGGCAGGTGATGGAGCCTCAGCTAAAGGGGCATTCTTGCTTAGGACCTCGATTCCTGAGCAAATGGCTGTAAGATGAAGAAAGTTAGAATTGCTCACAATGGTGGAGGCAACAGGGCTATGTCCTTTCAGACTCTTCCTGTAAAGAATTATTATTGGATGTCCTGCTTCTTTCCAGGAAGAGCCTGGGGCTACCTTACTTCCTACTGATTCAGGCTTCCAGCCTGTCTTGAATTCTGCAGTTCCCACAGCCTTCAAAGAGCACCAGTCAGTTTTTCTTAATTACCACAAATACCGTGACTGTCACAGTTGACTGACACAAATAAGATGTACACTAAACTTTATAGATAAGTTTGTGCATTGTCTATTCTTGCAATTCACAGCAAACTCATTGCTTCAGCCAACTGGTTAATAGAAGAAATCATATGTCTTGAGTTTCCAGGAAGTCCAGTCAATAAACCATCAAAACATGGTATGTTTGGGACTTCCCTGGCAGTCCAGTGTTTAAGACTCCACACTTCGAAGCAGGGTGCATGGGTTCAATCCCTGGTACAGGGAACTAAGAGATCACATCCCACATGGTGCAGTCAAATAAATAAATAAAATATTAAAAACAAACAAACAGAAAACAATACGTTTTATGATCATGCCATGCAGATTTCAGAAAACCTTCCAGAATAGTAGATAATAAGAGTTAGAAGCTCTTGCAGGTCGCACAGTAGTCTGGTGAACACATTTGTGGGGCAGAAAAGAAACGCTATAGAAAAAAGACAAATTCAGCTTTAGATATATGTACAGCACAGTTATAACATGAACAACAGTAGTTAATGCCTTGAGGTCCTACAATTAAATGGAGTGTTCTCTTGAAACTGTGACATGAAGAAGCTTTTGAGATAAGAAGATTGCAACGAGACCAGGAATAAAGAGAAGAAACAAAAATTAGCCTTTTCAACTAGAAAGCTACTACTCTCTTTAAAAGAGAAGGCAAACTGGGCATACCTATAAAATTGAATTTGCACTTTGGTCAGGCCACATAAAAACTATAAAGACATATACCAAGCAACCATAAAAATTATAGGAATAAGTGAAGACAACATTTCTCCAGAGAGCAGGACATATTTTTCTAATTTTTAAAGGAAAAATAATTAGAAACATTGCTATTTTTAATGGGGTTATGAGAAAGTAGAAACCCTTGACTTAAGACTCTACTGGACTCATGACATGTTACAACGTGCTGCTGCAATTTATATTCTCATAAACACTGAAGTTCAATTTCAATATGTCAAGAAAAGTGTTTTAGTCTGGTATGAAACTGTAAAAATTCTCTCACTAGGATATTTAATGAAGGTTCCCTCAACCAAATTATAAGATCACTTTGGTTCAGATTCATTTGGAAATCTGAACCAGAATTCATTAGGTCATGCCCTGGAAAGGTTTCCTCCAGAGCAAAATAAAAGGCACGGAGGTAGGAAATTAGAGTAACTTAATACTACAAAGAAGTAGGTCACTTTGAAGCAAGATAAACCAGTGTATGTCAAATATAGAAAGTATGGCTATCATTAATATTCATCTTATGGACATTCAAAGTCATGAGGGAGATAAGGATCAAAAGTGGAACTAAGGAATTCACTGGGTAAAATGCCTTTAAAATAATAATCGATGCAACTGAAAAAAGGTTTCTCCCCCTAAAAGGGTTATCAGTCTATCAAGCCTACCCTGTCTTCAGTCTTTTGAATTCTCAAAGGAAAAATCTAGTTTAGATGACTTAGTCTATTAATCCAGAAGTAGAATTAATGATATTACATTTAATAAAAAAATAAATAGTGGAGTTTATTATATTTGCTATATAATTGTGAAAATTAATGTTGACTCTTGGACTTTGCTTCTAATATTAAATGGCTTTTACTGACTAGTTATCAGGCATTTATGGCAACACATGTAAAACTGTGGGGAAAACAGTGTATCAGCTCTATCCACTCACTCTATCTTCATGTGTATGCTTGTTATACTCTCTACAAAGAAAACTAATGAGGAGCTGTCCAGTGACTAGTTATCAGGCATTTATGGCAACACATGTAAAACTGTGGGGAAAACAGTGTATCAGCTCTATCCACTCAATCTTCATGTGTATGCTTGTTATACTCTCTACAAAGAAAACTAATGAGGAGCTGTCCAGTGTCTACTTTAAGGCGTAAACTATACTGTATACTCCCCTCTAAAAGAAGCATCCAGGGAGTACTTAATAAATCTTAATTGCTAAAATGATTGAATCATTAATCAACATTTGAAAACTGAGGAAATTAGCAATATTCTGCTAATTGCTTAGGGGATTCTAGAAAATATTGTCTAGAAATTTAACCACTGGTGTTAAAGACTGATTACAGGACTCAGGTTTCCCAGGATTACTGGGATCAAACTATTTAAAGAAGCTGATAAAATATATTTTTCCTGTATACCCATATTTTTTCTTTGTTCACTATTCCTTTTCTGGGACACTAAATTCTCTATCATTTATAAAATTCCATGAATTGATTACTGCATTTGCTAGTTACATCAGTACCATGAACTGACTGCTATTATTAATCACATTTCAAAGATGATTAAAATTAGGTTTAGAGAAGTTGACATCCCCCAAGGTAACACAGCTGGTAAATGGTTTAGCTCGAAATCAAGGACTCTGAAGCAAAATATCTGAACCACAAGACCAGGCAGATATCTCTGTAAGCATCAGATATATCAGAAGGACATGCGATACACTGTTCTGTGGCAGATGATCACAGCAGCTCCCACATCAAATATTAAGAAAGGAAAAAAACATGCTATTTGATTATGATGATTTAAAAGCAATGATTTACATGTAAGAAATGAGATAGGAAACCATGAAAATATGGAGAACATTTGCAATGACAGGTTTTACTTCCTGTGTGACCCTAGCCCCCAAATTGATTAGAAGTAAACTTCACCAGACCCAGCTGAGCAAAGGACAGCTTGAGAATGGTGAAATGCATGATATCATGTTTTGCACCATGAACCTCACCCTCTCCCAGAAATGGGGGAAGAAGAGGAACTCAGGGGAAAGGCAAGGAACTAGGGAATGAGAAAAAGCAAGAACAGTGTTTGGATACTCACTTTCTTACCCCCACGATCTCCTATTTTTGGTGGCAGGGGTGTGTGAAATCACAATTAGACAGAAAACGGAATCCTAAGTTTCCCTATATGTCCAAGTAGAAGACTCAGAATGTGTAAAGGGGAAAGCAGTTGGCTCTGCCAAGAGATCTCCCAGGCCATATGCAGACACCCGTGTACTCTGGTCATAGTACATTTTAAAAAGCCAGGAATGAGATAGTGAGGAAGAAAAATTACTCTTACCAAGAAAGTACACTAAGTCCAGATGGCTGACTGTCCTCATCTAACATGTTACCTTGAGGCAGCATTACGTTTCCTGTGCATGTGTGCTCAGATCTGTCCAACTCTTTGTGACCCCATGGAGAGCAGCCCAGCAAACTCTTCTGTCCATGGGATTTTTCAGGTAAGAATACTGGAGTGAGTTGTCATTTCCTCCTCCAAGGGATCTTCCCCACGCAGGGACTGAACCCATGTCTCCTGAGTATCCTGCCTTGGCAGGCGGATTCTCTACCAGCGAGTTGCCAGGAAAGTACGTTATGTCCCTTGTCTAGAGAATAAAGAGTTAATCACTGTGCCAACAACAGACATCAACTGCAGACTCATACAGAGGCTCTTTTCTTATTATTAACTCCTGCCCATCATATATGTAAGGCCCTCTTTCTCTGCATATTACCTGTGGCCTCTTGGGGCCAGAAAAGATAGGAAGCAGAAAAAGCCAGATGGTATTTGTAAACTCGACTATGAAGTAAACCTTGACTTCTGAAGAAATCACTGGATTGGGCTAATTGTATTTTTGGTCTTTAGATTCAGTTTTTCTGCTGTCAGTAAAAAGACAGGCTCAGAATTTAAACAGATAGTAACAAAAGTCACAAACAAATGTCATCATTTGATTGCTATGGA